TATGTTGAGCAAAGTGTATAATCATAAGTTCTAATATTTGAATGTGTTTCCTCTGCTAGTTTATCATTATGAACTGAAACTAAAACATTCATATTAAATATTATTCATTCATTTTGGAACACGTGCTATTAAACTATAAAAAGTATAGTCAATAAATTCACAACACTAATACTTTTCCATAAAGGAGTTCATACATAGTACATACATTTTAGATAAACTATAATAGGTATAGTTTATGATACATCACTCTACGCACTCGTACAAGAAGGGTACATTCATACAAGAAAGATTTCTATTCGCACACATTTCACGTAAATTTATTAAGCTATGGTTCAATAAATTCACAACACTAATACTTTTCCATAAAGGAGTTCATACATAGTACATACATTTTAGATAAACTATAATAGGTATAGTTTATGATACATCACTCTACGCACTCGTACAAGAAGGGTACATTCATACAAGAAATATTTATATTCACACACATTTCACGTAAACTTGTTATCCTATATTGTGAGTTTCTCTATTTTTCTCTCTCTCTCTCTCCCCGTACGTCCGAGTGCGGGATATAATTCCTGGTAGTTATAATCAGAATCTCCTTGAGGGAGAACGTGATACTTGTATATAGATCTATATTGGGATTGACACCCCACACCTTGCTGCTAGCTACAGTTGGACCTGCAGGTCTACGGGTGACAAATGTTATTTCATTTTTCGCGACACTGAGAACGTCGTGGCAGGTTCACATAGTCATAGTATGATTATAACGGCTCACATAGGGAACAATCCATAAGTTTACGGGATTTTATTTTTAAAACCTAAATGAGTTTTATGTCGATTTAAAATCACCTTTTATCTCTATGGGTACAAATACAAAGTACCGGGTCTCTATACAAAAAAGGGTACAAATACAAAGTGCCGGGTCTCTATACAAAGCTATTATGATATTAAAACTACACTTCTCTAAAATTGTTAGACTTCAACTATAGTCGCTGAGCGTATATGTTGAGTCATATAAGAATTTAGTCTTGATTGGCCTAGAATTGGTGGTGCCCGCCTCATCTCCTGTTCCTCGTTGGGTTGTGGACCTAGGGCAGACCCACTATATTCAACGTTTTATCTAAGTTAAGCCTTATATAACTTTATATGTTGGACGATTATAGAGGAACTCTACGGATTACTCTAGGGTTCATTACAGCATCATGTAGGATTATTTCTATTCATACTTAACTAAGAAAATATTGGATTTTCTGGAAATCAAACTAAATCGATTTTACAAGGAAAAACGGTTTCTACTTCAAACAAAACTCTTATGAACTCACCAACCTTTGTGTTGACACTCTTTAAAACTACTTGTATTCTCAGGAAATCAGTGAAACAGGAAAACTTCATCGCTTTGAGGATGGGACGCTAAACCGTCAACAAATTATTTTGTCATCATAATGTAATTGCTTTTGAAACATGTAAACATATACTTTGGTGTAACTTTTGCAATTATATATATGGTGGTTGTTTTTACTTTGAGCACTATTATACACGTTGTTGTGATACTGTACATGAAGTCCTCCACCCCCAGACGTTTCCGCCATCCTTGGTTTGGGGGTGTGACAGATACTATCTCATATAACATCGTAACTAGCAAACTAGCATACACACATATCTAGCAATCTAGCATACTCACATATCCAACAATAACAGACCAGACAATTATCACAAAGATAACCATGCCAACCGACAATTACTAGTGGGCCGACCTTGGTGCCTTAGATCCACTTCTATTGGAAGCTAACTTACCTTGATGTCATGTAGTGTCTGAACTGTCCTTGGCGTGAAGGTCGGCTCTCCTCGACTCCTCAATCCCTACACGACAACCCTCAAGTCATCAAACATAACATACAACCCTAGCCCAGGTCAATACCAAAACCAGGCAAAGTCCACATTGGTCAAAGTCAACACTCAGTTGACCTGACTCGTCGAGTTGGTCTACCAACTCGTCGAGTCCATAATCCATTAACCCGATCCAACCCCGACTCCACTCGTCGAGTCTACCAAGAACTCAGCGGATTCTCCTTCATTCAAACCATCGGGACTATCTTCATCCGACTCGTCGAGTTCTTCCTTGAACTCGGCGGGTTCATCTCCCACATAAGAATGTGTCCGGTCTACGGCTCGCCGAGTTGTATGAACAACTCGTCGAGTCCATCTTCAAAGATTGGGATATTGCCTTGGACTCGCCGAGTCTGTTCATACACTCGTCGAGTCCCATGATTCCCATGTCCCCTTTTCGCGTCTAAACATCTACGAGACTTTCCTCCCTAACAACTGGCCCATCCACATACATGATTTGTTGGTCGTTACACCGCGAATCGCCGAGTCCGAAGAACAACTCATCGATTCCATCCTTAACCAACACTACACGGTGAATTTAAATGGGTCTTAACACACCAAAACCATAGATCTGGCATCCTAATGTCCATTTTACACGGAAAGTTCCAAACTTGGTATACATGCAAGGGGTCTTTAGCCCAAAAAGCCATAAAAGATGGCCTCCAAGGTGCATGGGGTGTTCATGGAAAAAAAATGGGCACTTTGTGCATTAAAACCCCCCAATAGACCTGGATCTAAAGCATACACTGACTTTCAACACTAAATCCCGAATACCACCCTTCTAGGGCTTAGAAATATGAAGGAAAAGGCCCAAACATCAAGATCTATAAATAAAGGTTCAGCTTCATACCTCCAATAAGCTGAAAATGAGCTCCAAACTCTGGATCTTCTTATTTTCCCTTGGTCTCACAAGCCCCTTTCCTCTTTTCAAGCTTCACAACCCACCAAAAAGCACCAAGATGGCCTTAGAACACACAAAAATGGCTAGGGTTTCGATATGATGTCTTCTGGGAGTATAAGGGACGATAGAGGCTGAGATAAGATGTTTAAATAGGGTGCAAACCCTCAATTTAGGGTTTTACCCAAACAACACCTACTCACCGAGTCAGTCTTCTGACTCTTCGAGTAGGTCACTTAAACTGTCTGCGTATCTTGACTCTACTCGACTAGTTGGGCCAACAACTCGTCGAGTCTCAGAGAAAAACACAATAAATGCTTGAATTAACTGCATACCATAAATTGGGTGTTACAACGGGAGCTCCGGTGAGGCAGGGAAATCGTGATGAGGTGCAAAGGGGTTCAGTCGAGACCGACAACCCTCAGTGTGTCTACTCTTCGTATTCACTGTTGGGCGACTATTACAGCGAGGGGGCTACTCCAGTGGCCTGCTTGGCTGTTCTTCTTCTTGCCTTTTGTTCTAAACACAATGTTGAATCAAGACTTGTTCAATCAAATTCCAAAGAAAGATATTGTTCCAAATGTTAAATCTTATAAGATTAAGATGTATGAATTGTGTAGAAAGAGTTCGATGTGGGTTGTTTTTGGAAAACGTCATGAACAGAACACGGGATAGAGAAAAACGATAAACATGTGGTGATGGGCTTTTGTTTGATTCTACATCTGCATGTCTGAAGCAAGAATAAAAATCTCGATTTGTGGGTTTAAATCAAGAAGAAAATTGATGGTGTTTGATTTGGAGGTGTGAAAGTGATAGAGACAGAGATGGTGTTCAAGAAGAAATCACTTTCTATTTGCAGGGGAAGGTGATGGAGATGAGTTCGACTCTTGAGAGATGAGAGAGAGGGAGAGAGAGTGTGTGTGTGTGTGTGAGAGAATTTTTTTTAATTTTTAATTATTTTTTAATTGTTGTAATAAAAGAAAAATGGAAAATAAAATAATAAGGGGCAAATTCGTCATTATAAAGAAATTCATAGGAAATTGGACTAAACTCACAATAAAACGAAACTATTGGACCATCGTTGCGAGCCAAACCCATTTTGGACCAAAGTTGCTAGTTTTGACATACCAGAGGGACCATTCTTGCAATTTTTTACGCAATATTAGTCCTTGATTTAATTAGAAATTTTTTTTCATTAACCTTTGAGAAAATTTTCAAGCCACTATTTGAGAAGTGACTTGATTGTATAATTAATTTTTGGGTAAATTACACCAATCGTTCCTCATGCACATGCCAGAAAGCGTATTTAGTCCCTATTTTCAAAAATTAACTCAGATTGTCCCTCGTTTGTTTAAAACTTGCACGTTTCATCCCTCCAAGACGAATTTGTTGCAGTTTTAGTCCGTTCCATATTTGAAATGACCATAATGCCCTTATGTATTTTATTTTTCAGTTAATATGATAATATTTAATCTTATTTAAAATTTAGAAAATAAATGGACCCCTCTCCCAACACCCCTCACCCCACCCCACCTTACACACCCGTTATCCTCCTCTCCCCCATCTACTCTTCTCCGCCTTCATCTGATCCTATTCTGATCATCATCTCCGACCACCCTAATTTTTCACCTTTCACATGCAGTTCCCAAATCTGAAACATGTACCAAATGGTTTTAGAATTTGAAAATCAGTTAGAAATCAAAATCAAACGAAGATTCAACCTGAAACCCAAATAGTTATGGTTTCGAAACCCATAAATCGTACCTGGAAATCAAACCTACCATCGATACACAGAGAGTGGGACGAGAAGAAGATAGACGGAGAAAGAAGAAGGGCATCAATGGAACTATTGATGGTGGTGTGGTAGCGGTTCCTACCTTGCTGATGATGGTGATCGAAGATGATGGTGGTGGTGGTGGGAACCCCAATGAACATAAACACATGTGGTGAATCTTTGTCGCTAGAAAAACGAATCTGGTGACATCCTTGCTGCCGAAAAAACGAATCTGGTACCCCGATTAACAAAACCCTTGACACGATCTCTAGAATAACATCCAGAGAAGATCTTCATACAACATTCTTGCATATGTGTCTCAGAGGAGGGTTTTAAAGGGTGTGGATCATCGTTGTGAACTACTCCGCCTCCTTGATCATTAAAGTCACCGCCTCCTAGAGTCTCACATCTTATGCGCCGCCACCACTACCTGTTCGCATGAACCCTAGAGCCATCATCGCCACCTATTCACTTGAAAACCTTTATCGTCTCAGATCCACACCATTGTCTCAATCTACGATGTTGCTTCAGATCTACACGATCATTATCACCAACTATGTAGATCGTGTCAAGTCATTTAACATGTTGGTTGTGTCCGGTGGAGTGAGGATGGTATGTGGAGATAGAGGGTTGTTCGAGTTTATAGAGGTGGTTGGAAGTCCGTCGACATTGTCACATTGTCCGACGGAGCGACGATGATAAGTGGTGGGTGGTGGTTGGCTGTAGGTTTTAAATATACAAAAAAGGATAGTCATCTGATATTCTAAAATGGGTGTGCCAAAATAATTTATTATATAATTTTTTAATAGATTAATAAGAAATACATAATAAATAAATTAAAAAAAGAAAGATGATAAGGGTAAAATAGTCTTTTCATGACACCAGGGACGAAACATGTAACTTTTTATGACATAAGGGACGAACCTAGTTAATTTTTAAAAATAAGGACGAAACATGCTTTCTGACATTTGCACGAGTGATAGAGCTAATTTACCCTTAATTTTTTTTAAAACGGATTAAACATTGTGCGAGCTTCTAAAAAAATAAAAACAAATCAAATCTCAAGCCCATGAACGGAATATTCCGCGGGATGAGTGATGATCACCCATGACCCAAGTTGAACAAGTTGGTGCATCTATTTGGAGCTTTGGCGGCCAGTAACGGCTTCTAAATTTTACATTGAGGGGTGTAATTTACCAACACTTAAAAGATCAGGGGGTATTCACAAAATCCTGCCTTGATTGGGTAGCCAGGGTAGCGTCTTTTATATAAAGTGTGAATAAGGTCAGCGTCTCCTTCTCCCCCATTTCATTCGCAGTGACCATCTCTTTCTCATCTTTTGCACTTTTTTCTCCTCCGCTAGAGTGTCAACAATGGCTTCTTCATCGCTCAAGCGTTGGGTTAGACCCGAGGTTCGTAGAATTAGATATTTCTTTACCCTTCTCTATTTTTTTTCGGATTTTTTTTGTATTTTTTTGTTTTGAATATGATGCCGATCCAAGGGATAAGCTATTTCATCGTGAACGATGACTTGTGAATCTGATCTGATAGATCTGACGGGTTTGATAGGTTTATCCTCTGGCAGCAGCCATGGCAGTCGCTCTCGGAATCTGCGGAATGCAATTGATTCGCAATATTAGCGGCAACCCTGAAGTCAGGTTCGTTTCTCTCTCTACCCTCACAAATATCTATATATGTACATGTAAGTCACGAACACGAACAAATCGCGAATCAATTGTGAGCTTTTTGTCGTTAAGGGTTTTTAGATGATGTTTGATTTGTTTACTAGTTTTTGCTTCCATGCCTAGAATCAAATCATAGCTTCATCTGATTAGGAAATATGGATAGTTATGGGGTTATAACTTAGAAACCTGTGTAATCGTGACTGAACAACTGACGAACTATAATCGCATTTTAAAGCATTTTTGAACAAGTTTGCACCCTTTTCAAGCTGAAATACCTACAGTGCAAGGTTTAATATTATTGAAGTTGAATCTCTTCATACTAGTAACTTATCTGTGCATAATTCAATCACAATATCGTAATTTTCAGGACAACTTATCATTAGCTCATATATTTCCACCATTTCATAATCCGAATCTCACAAATTTGAATAATTAAAATAAGGTGGGTCTGAAACATAGTGTGGATAAGTATCTACTTGTATAAAGTACTATTGCAGAACAACAGTTATAATCCTTACATTGATGTTCAAGAACTATATATATACTTGAAATTTATTTTCAAAATAACACACTTAATTCGGTACTTCAAGGATCCAAATTATATTGCCTACAGTTGCACTCAAAAATTAAAATTCATATCTTGAATGCCAGAGAATTATAATCATGTTCTTTTTCAAGGATCCAAATTATTTACTAAATAACACACTTGAAAGTTTTTTTCAAATATGATTATTTCGACTTTATGCCAGAGAATGATAATCATGTTTTTTTTTTCAAAGAATTAAATTTTGATATTTCCTAACTAAAGTCGTAATAATCACTTAATACACACATCCATAATCACAATATAATATGGTTGGAAGGTAAAATTTATATTACTTGTGTAGGGAATTAACACGACTCTATTTTGCTTATGAGATCTCGTGAATTTAAATTTTGGTTGTATGTGTATTTAAATATGGATGTTGTGTATAAATTTGTTATATAAGTTATTTTTTTTATTGGGATGTACAGAGTGACTAAGGAAAACAGAGCTGCTGGTATATTGGATAACTTTGTGGAAGGTGAAAAATATGCAGAGCATAGATTGAGGAAGTTTGTTCGCAACAAGTCTCCTGAGATCATGCCATCTGTCAATTCTTTCTTCACAGATCCAAAATGAAAAGCAAACTTAATGTTGTGTGTCGCATTGCAAGTCTTTGATTTTGGATTTGTTGTTATGATTTATAATCAAGGAAAATGTTTTGAACCTTAATGGAATTGTTGGTCTGATTTATTTTTCTCTAAATAATACAAACTCTGTCTAAATGCTTGAAACATGACTATTTCTTGACTTAACTTGGAATGAATGACCTAGTGGATTAAGCCAAAAAAAAGGTGGCTTAATGTATCAAGATACCAACGTATGTCCTGTTTTTCCTCTTTTTTTTCAAAAAAAAAAAAAATCCAGCTGCTTTCATGTTATGTTTGATAAATATTGTAAAATTTGTTTTGTGGAAGCCAAAGGGTAGAGTGGTCATTTTGTTTCACTCAGATTGACTTGTTCAATCTAGAAACTAGAAAGGAAACACCTTTATGTATTTAACATTTTATGGAGACATATTTGTTGAGCCATTTATCTAATTATGACTTAAAAGGGGTGAAAATGGTGCCTATATTATGCTAGTCATGGTGCTTGTAATCTTTTATGGTGTTCTCTTAACTTTTATGAGTCAGTTATGTCGTGGTTAAAATCAATAATGGTGCTATTTTCTTTACCCAAAATAAACAAACAAAAGAAACTGTTTTCTTTTTGTTAAATGTTTTAAGTAAACTTTATAAACAACAGCCAACTATTCAAATTCACATGACTATCGATGCATAAATGATAATGATAATGTTATAATGCGTGTTAAGGGTTAGAAAGCATCGAGTTAATTGTAAGATCATACAAAAGCCAACATAACATATGGTTATTTTGGGAAAGAGGTGAAATGTTGGTAATTCGGGTGATGGCCATTTGGTGTGTAACTGAAATCAACATGAGTACCAAAATGGTTAAAGTGTTGGTTAAAAATGTATGAGGTCGTATACTATATAATTGTATACAAGACAAGTTTGATTATGAATATGATGAAATGTGTGGGTCAAGGGGGTTTATTCCCTCTTGCGGGGTCCAAGGGGCAGAGGGCTTGAGAGTGGTCCAACTGACTCATATGAGTAAGGTTGATGGCAACGTTCCAAAAACCTCTTCAAAATTTCATGTAGAAATACAATGGAATAACATGATTAGGGATTTAGGGTAGAGGAATAAGGGAAAGAATGAAGGTTTTGCGTATGGTCAAGTGGTCAGGGACATCTCACATTGTTTGTATATGTCCGATCAATTTTGGCGGTTGTTTTTGCGGAAACTATTTTCAAATTGTAGAAACTATCATTTTTTTTTTCAATCTTATCCATATTTCTGATGTATGAATACATCTACTCGGAAATTGTCACTTTTGTTGTTATCTTAGGATGTGAACATTCCGTATAGTCTTTAAAAGAGTTGTTTTTATTTTTGTGTCTAAATCTAAAAGTTTATTTTTGTGTCTAAATCTAAAAGTATCTCTAGGATTATAGTAGATATAAAGTTTTGAAACTTGAGAATATGTGAGAAATATCAATACGAAAATTGAACTTACACGATCTTTAAGATATCAAGAAATTCCGTGATACCAAAATTCTCAAAATAAATAGAAGTTAAAGACGGCAAAGTGTGAATAAAAATATCATGTTCTCTCTCTTTTTTTTTTTTTAATTCTTTTTCTCTGGGTTCGAGTTAAAAAAATTCCATATAGATAAATATTTATTAATCCAAACTAAATTATTTGATTTATGGCGAAGATGTTCATATTAAAGTTATCATTATATTGACCAAACATGGTTTGGTCAAAGTTCAAACTATGACCATTTTAAACTCAAGATACTATCAAAGTATAGTGGATACAAAGTTACAACTATATAATTTTTGTATATTCAATCAAATTACTTAAAGTTTAAGTTTGGGATTACATTCTTATTTATGTTAATTTGCTATCTTTTTTTTTTTCTTCATGGATTTGCTTTAAATTGATAGTGCATGTTGATTGATTTAATTGAAAACTATATAAATAATGCAATTAATACAATCATGAAGTGTAAACAAACAATTAATATATTTTTAAGTACATGAAAAACTACAAAATATATATTTTGTGTTTTTATATAAAATTTGTTTTTTACTACGAAACAAACTCACTCATGCCACTTGTATGACTTGAAATTATGGCTTTCTTTCCGAAAAAATAATCTCTCTTTGTTTCATAGTTTGAAAATAAAGAAAACCGCAAACAATGGTCGCCAATTGCCATGATTTTTTGATTTTTTTTTACCATTAAAATGTATTTAGTTGACAGAAAATGAATGAAATTCGAGAGAAATGATTTCAATTCTCTTGAATTCAAGCGTTTGGTTGGACTTAAAGAGGGAAAAATGATTCCAAAATGAAATAAATTTTCCACCATATGGACGAAAGTTTTTTTTTTTTTTTTTTTTTTTCAAAATTGGATGAAAAACATTCATTCTCATAAAGAAAAATGATAGATTATAAAAATATCCTCTTTACTTATAAGAAAACCAACCGCCACCTACTACCACCAGGACCATCACCACCGTCACCACCGCCATCACCATTATCCACCATTGTGCCACCACCACCATCACCCGCCATCAATACTCACCGTCGCTACCACCATTACCATCACCATCACCAACCACCACTACCACTACTAACATCACCCACCACCACTACCAACACCTCCACCAAGTCCACCACCATCATCACCACCACCATCACTGTTATAACCACTACTACCATCGTCACCACCACCATTACCGTCATCCACCATCACTACCATCGTTGCCACCACCGCCACCGTCACCACCACCACTCAAACACCACTACCACCACCGCCATCGCCACCACTACCGTCGTTGCCACCACCACCACCATCACACAACACCACTACTACCGCCTCAACCACCGCTACCACTGTTATTGCCGAGATTTTATTATTTTTATAATGTATATTTACATATAAGTTAGATAATAAAATAAAAATTAAGCAAAACAGACAAAAAATATAATTTTGTCATTTTACATGGATTCCAATTCCATTTTGCTTGCGAACCAAAGAGAATCTGGATTTAATTGTAATTCTAGGTTCTGTGAACCAAAGATAGTATATGACATGTAATTGGATTCAAATCCCGATAGATTCATTTTCCTTTTCCAAATCTAACGAGTTTCAAAATTACGCATTTTAGTCGTTTAGGTTTAGTTTAGTCCTAAATTTGGTCATAGCCAAAATTAAAAAGAGTATTTTATCTTCTTTTTTTTATTTACTTTTTACATCATTTTTAATATTTTCTTCTATGTTTTATTAAATGGAAAGTCAAAGGACCCATATCCCACCCACCTCCTATTCTCCTTTCATTTACAATATGTTCAAATTTTTTTTAAAAAAATGTGTGCTTGATTGTTTCTCACCATAATCGATAGATTTTCATCGAACCCTCTTCCACTATGTCATTTACATAGGACCTTCTTCCATTAAACGGGTTTCCACAACAACTTATTGATTAACTATAGGAGATCTATATACATGACACCCACACCGTGAACCAAATACATAACAACATTTGTGGTATTAGAGACAACATTCATAAGGTGTTTCAAATCACCATCATCAACTCTCTTTATAACATAGTACAAAATCAAGATATTGGAGAAAAAGAAACTTAATAGAACTATCTTTCAAACCTATCTTTATTGACACCAAATGTAGCACCCAACAATGTTTATATTTGTGGTCAAATATACAACACACTACTTAGTATTTTTCCGGATATATTGAGGTTCATCGTTTATTGTACCTGAAAACCCTTAATGCAGACAACAATGAAAACCTTGAGGCTCTGCTTTGGTTGCCTTTGTCTACATTTTTGTGCTCCATGTACCAATACATTTGTAGAAGCCATAACTCCCTTTTTTGATATGATGCTTTGTTACAAATTAGGCTACTCTAAAGTAGCAATAAGAAATTCATTTTTCTGAGAACGTTCTTTTTGTTACAACTACTAAAATTTAACTATATAACATTTTATACCATGTTATATAGTTCAAGACAATATTCTAGTTGGTCCAATCATAGTATAAAAGTAGAATTTATGTTGGATTTTTCAACACTGAGGGCTAGATTCTTCTGAATATAAATTTTTTCACAGAAGATGGGTGCAATATTTCACAAACTAGACTTAGTAAAAACCTAGCTGCAAATATAGAAACTGATAAATCGAAACTGCAACGAAAACCGATAGTGCAGTTTTAAGTTTTTCAAAAACTAAAATTTTTCGATGCAGTGCTGTATTTAGTTTTCCATAAACCAAAAAAAAACCGAACCACGCCGAAAACCTAAACTAAACCGAACCGCAACTATTATATATAGTATTTAATTATTTATTTAAATAATTACTAATATGTTATTTGTAAGAAAATTAAATAGGTGTGTTTTTTTATTTATCTTATACCTTATGTTTTTTTTAGTCATCACAAGCAATGTATTTGAACTTTTAAAACTGCTAAAAAAGTCTCAATTATCCAAACGAGTCATGAAAAATCTGAAATATTTAACTGTGGTTAAAAGCCGTACAAATTAACCACACAAAAAAAAAACCTGTATAAAATCCGTGCGATTAATAACCGACCACAAATAAAAAAAAAACCGCATCGTAAAAATAATGGCATAACCGCACTGCAAAAATACCTCTACCAATTAGTTTTGAAAATGAAATAAACGCATTTGCAAAATGCGGTTTGCAATTTGGTTTTGATCAATAGCTACATCGAATTGTACTGACTCATACAAACCACACTGCAAAATTATTCAAAAAAAATGCGGTTTGCAATTTGGTTTTGATCAATAGCTACATCGATTTGCAATGTTATCGTTTCGTGTTTCTGTCTGACATGACAAGATTTTATGTAACACGAACACGACACGACACGATGTCGTGTTTTTTTAACTAATACGAAAACGGACGAATTAAAAAACGACAAACACGACACAACACGAAAAATATAACATATACTAAAAACTAGTTTATTTAATGAATATTTTATCAAATATAACACGACAAACATGAAAAACACGATAAATAACTACTAAATCGTGTCAAATTTTGAACACGAATACAACACGACATCATGTCTTTTACAGTTAACACGAACACGAACACGAAT